CCTGTTTCAGAGGCCCCAGCCCTGCTGAATAGATTCTTCTAACAAGGCACAAGACAGGGATTTGCTTTTATTTGGTCTCATAGATATGATCCATTTTGAATAATTTTCATTGGTTGGCTATTCTGGTTCAAGCTAGAGAGTGAATGTTTCAATATTAAAGTAATCATAATTGTCTTTAAGAAGCATACTGCTGCCTGGCCAGTGTGGCTCAGTGGATTGAGGGTCATCTCATGGACTGAGAGGTTCCAGTTCGATTCCCAGTCAGGGCATATGCCTGGGTTGCAGGCTCAATCCCCAGTGGGATATGCAGGAGGCAGCCAATCCATATTTCTCTCTCACATCAATGTTTCCATCTCTTTCTCCCTTCCTCTTCTAAAAAAATCAATAAAAACATATTAAAGACAAAAGAAGTCTGCTGCTGTGAGCTCAGCTATAAACCTCACTCTGCAGCACACTAATAAATGGCAGTCCAAGAAAATATTGGAAATAATAAATGTGTAAATAGCTCTTGGTATTAAATCTCCCAGTGCTTAAGCAAGTCATTCAATTTATTGTCATTTTCCTCACTAGATTATAACTTACTCCTGCAGTAGCTCATTTTGGAACATCATCCAAAAAGTTGTGATTATAAAAACAGAAACAAATATTAAAAATGCTGTCTGTGCATATAGGTATTAAAAATAGGAGATGTGATCAGTATTTTTTCCACATTTTCTTGAAAATTTAATTGTTATGCCTATAAAATGTAGCACATCTTTTCAGTGGTGAGTTGAGACTCTCCATCAGAAGTAAGAAAACTAAGTCTAGTGTTATGAAGAAAAAAAGCAAAATATTCACCTAATTAAAATTGAACTTATTAGTTTGATGATTCAGGGATAGACATTAAAAACAAGCAGAGCTACATATACTTGAACATAGGTCTCAGATGGTAGAGAGGGCATGTTCTTATTCTAAGAGTAGGAACAGAAAGATGACATTAAAGAAAACAAATGGGACCTGCCTCATAGGTACACTGAGGTGCCTCTACTCAAGGCATGCTTAAATAGGAGATGAAGGAAATTAAAAGGAGGAAAGGTACTATGAATTCAAAACTCCTTAAACTCAGAAGAGAAGCAAACCCTTCCTTCCTTTCTTCCTTCCTCCTTCCCTTCCTTCCTTTCTTCCTTTTTCCCTTCCTTCCTTCCTCCCTTCCTTTCTTATTTTTTCCAAACCAACCACTGATGAGCTTAAGAGCATTTAAAGATCCATTTCTTTAGTTTCTTCCTTTTGAGGGTAGACATGCCAAACCAATTTAACATTCTCACAATATATTTAATTATGTTGACTGTTCTCTGGGCCTTCAACAGTTTTTCCATAAACTTTACAATGTAAAGACTTAAACAAGTGAACTCCTGGCGTACTTGATGGTGAAGAACAGCCATTCTGAGTATGGAGTTTGTGCTGCCCTGGTACTTTCTTGAGAAAGCAAGCTGGGTACTGTTTCTGTCATCAAAATAAGTCTTCCTAAGGAAGGGGCAGCGCTGGTATTTTCCTCTCTGATTATGCCTTAGGTTTATGACCTAAATGCAAAATAAATTATATCTGTCAAAACATTGTTTGGTCTGATGATCTGGCTTGGAAAAATAGAGTTCCTAGCACAGCAGGAAAATATAGTGCCTGGCATAGCAAGTTGACCTTTTAGTGAAATATTTGTGAGTATGTTGGCCCATTAGAAAAACAAAGAAAAATAAATAAAAATATATCTTTGATAATAAATAGCATAATCAGGACTACTGGCCCAGAAATTTCGAAAGGGTAAAGAAGCAGTATGTAGATGTCACTTCACAATTGAAATAGGCATTTCTCTTTCATGATTTGTGGTATTGTTTATGTAGTTACGTCAGAGGGATGTGATATGCCTCACAGAGTAGTGAATCCTAACAAGTTATGGAGTGTCTCTGACCCTTCACTGCAGGTTTCCACTGGGCATCCCTGTCTTTGACAGTTTCAACATCTTCAGAGGAATTGGGGGAGGGGGGAAGCAAATAGAACACGATGTTTTTTCTCTCATTTTATGTAAGGCTGTCCTGTTGCAACCCAGTTCCCCAGGCACATTCTTTTCATATACAAGGAGGCCAATGGGAGGAATGACAGGTTAGGTTATAAGTCACTCTATATCAGGATACTTCCTGCCACCTGAGAGGACACTTGGAGGTCTCAAGCCACAACTCTGTATAGATCTGATGGAGAAGTTGTATGGGGAAAGCTTTCTGTAGTTTAACATAAGCTAAATGAGGTCTGGTGGCCCTAAGTAGGGTAAATACAAGGATTCACCTTTAAACAGTGATCAGCACTGTCTTCTCAAGGAAGACTTAGGACCACAAAAACCTGATTGTCATGGAGTCCTGTCATGGACTTAAAAGAAGCTTCCTTTGAAGAACTGGTCCCTATGCCAGGCTAACTTCACTAGAAACTGTACCCAACACCGTAAGAATAGATATCATGGAAAGCTTTTTATCCTTGACCTAATAATAGGAACAATGCTAAAAAGAAATTAATCATTGGATGTAGATCAGTTCACACAGATAGTGCTCAATCTTTTTCTCGGGCATAGCTATCCAATAGTTGGAAAAATGGAAAACTTTTTGGAAAAATGGAAAACTTTTTCCAAGAGAGCAAGTTGAGGTTTAATAAAATTTCTCACTCAACTAATTAAAATGTTCCACTAAATTTATTTTTAGAGTTACCTTTTTTGGGGGGGAAGTTGATAACCTAAATCCTAGTAGATCTTGGAACATATTTGACTAACACAGTTGAATTTCAGACTTTACAACATAGTAAATTCATTTTTTGTCTTTTAGCAGAATCTGACTTTCCATTAAAATTTTATATACACTTTCATAATGGCTTTGGTGATCATTTTATACACTTTAATTGTTTTTGTAACTTTCTTTTAAAAAAACTAAAATAACAGCCTGGCTTGTTTTGCTCAATGGTTAGAGCGTCGGCTCAAGGACCAAAGAGTCTTAAATTCGGTCTGGTCAAGGGCATGTACCTCGGTTGCAATTCAGTCCCCAGCCCTGGTTGAAGTTGTGTGAAAGGCAACCAATTGATGTGTCTCTCTCACATTGATGTTTCTCTCTTTCTCCCTCCCTTCCACTATCTGAAAATCAATGAAAAAATATTCTCAGGAGAGGATTACAAAAATAAATATATAAATAAATAAATAAATAAATAAATAAATAAATAAATAAATAAATAAATAAAATATATTTATTATAGAAAAAAAAGAAAATGTGCTTAACCAAAAAAGAAAATTTTAATTACTCATAATTTTATTACCCAGAAATTCCACTATTAACATTTCTGCTTTGTAGCCTGCCATTCTTTTTCTTATTTATATATCACCATTAAAATTTTTTTGTTTAATTTTTAATTTAAAAAGTAGATTATCTTATACCAATTATTTTCTAACTTATTTTTATTTGATAAGCATATTATGGATGTTTTCTCATGTTATTAGATATTCTGGAATATAATTGTATTGCCTGCAAAGATTCCATTGCATTATCTTGGTGTAGCAGTTTGGTTATTTTTACTGTGTCCTCCATCCCCTTTGCATTTATATGATATAGATCCTATGCTTTTGTTCAAGTTAGCCTTGGGAATTTTTATTTTTAACACAGGTTCTTCAAGATATTGGAGCCAGAGCAGTTTGAACAAAGTTCATATTCAGGGATGAGTCACATCACTGAGGCTATTGGTTAACTACCCTAATTCATCTGAAGACCCTGGATCACCTTATGTTAGACTTAGAGGGAATTAGTGAATATTAAAGAAGAAACATATTTTAGAAATGACACAAATAGGAAATAATATAACTAATTCTACCTATTAGGAATGCAGAGTATTATAATATGAGTTGAATATAAGTTTCTGGCTGTTAATTCTTTATTTCTATAGCTGGAGTTATTCTGAGACTCTGAGAAGTACCACAAAGTAGTAGGCATTGACATATTAAAAATAAAAGTCAGCATAAAACACAAAATCACATGCCAGAGACATTGTAAAAAAGTGCTTGATTGGTGATGATATACATCATAGTCTGTTAAGGTATTATTGGAGTGAGATAAGGTGTGCAATTAAGAAAACTTTGTTTACCAGGAGCCAAAAGCAAACTTGTCAAAAGGTGAAGTTTGGAGAAGGTTTAAATCAGAGGATGTTGGAGAACCAAAGGTCAGCATGCTTGTTCAGTGAACTGATGAGCAGCCTTCTGGCAAGACCGAGAAGTGTTGGGATTGGTCAACAAAGACAGATAGCCACACAACCAAGTCCTTAAGGAGTACCTAAAGGAAAGCAGAGAGAAGGAGAAAAGAATGGAAACAGGGAAATAATAAAATAGGGGCCAAAAAAAGGGCATTAAGGATGGGACGAGTTGAGAGGCTGTCTACAGAGGCAGGAGAGGAGAGTTGCCAGGGCATATTCGTTCCCAATGTCTAAGGGAGAGGCAACTTCTAGCTACTGTTTTTTTTGTTTTTTTTTAATTTTTTAATTTTTTAAATTAATTTATTTTTGTTACAGATGTTTCTCCTTTTCCCCCCATTGACACCTTCCTCCCAGTCCCCCAACCCCAGCATTGTTGTCTATGTCCATGATTACGCATACAGTTACGATAAGTTCTGTGATTTATCTCTTCCCTCCACCCCCCACCCCCTCTTCTGAGGTTTATACTGGTTTATTTAAAAATGTTTTTAAGTGCCTTGCACTCCATTGGAATATCAAACTTACCAGAATAGGACATTCTGGATTTACTTGCAGTCAAAGTGTTCCCCCACAGACTTGGGCTTTCCCCCTAGTGACAGGTTTGTAGCTACCACAAATAAAATAACATGGGATTAGAAAAATAAAACAAGTTTGTAAACACAGAAGTCTAATGGCTGATTTTCTTCAGGGCTTCTTTTTTTGCTGGTCGTGGCTGCTTCCTATTCTAGTGGAAGGATGCTGTCTTTTGTCTTTGACAGAATGTTGATCCAGGTGTGCCTGTATTTTTACTGTAAGTTTTTATGGCGCTGCCTGAAGTTTGTAATGAGGAAGCTGACCGGAAGATGTGAACTGCAACGGATCTGTTACAATACCAAGCCTGGAGCTTCTAGAACCATGAAGATCGGTAAGCATGAAACAAAGAAGTAAGCAAAATGTAGACTTGATAGGACTGAGGATACAGTGTTATATTTTAGTATAGTAATTTTAAACCACTTGTAATGGATAATTTATGAATGATTTTTTAAAATTATCTCTTTATAGAAACATCATTGAGGGGTTCAAAAAGTAAGGTAAGTAAAAGTGTTTCTATATTTTTCAGCAACTTTTCACTTGGAAGCTTACCTCCATCTTCAAAAGTAAAAATGTGAAGAAACAAAATATACCATTAACTATAAAACCTAATGAAAACTGAGAAGAAATAGTTGCCTTTACTTTTAACATGAAAGTAGCCACTGCATGTGAAATTTTAGGCAGATGTAAGGGCATTTATTATTTACTTCACTGTTGAATTCATCTTTTTTTATAACTCTTGCCAAATCATAAAATAAAAATTTCTTGAACATAAGAGTAGCATTAACTCTCTGGTTTTTTCTCAATATCCAAATTATTTAACTTTATGCTCAAGACTCCAAGAAAATCAAAGACACTCTTCAGGTTTTTATACCACACAGTTAAGCATCCACATAAGAGAGAAAAATGTTTATTTTTTTTTAAGATTCTTGAATATTATTATTTAATTTTGGTATCCTTAAGACTATAACCCTCATGTAAGTCACTCAGTCATAGACATAATGCCCATAAACAATGGAAACCAGGTATATTGAGGGAGAAAAAGAAACTATAATATTTTAATAGGTAGTTTAAAACAGATAATATTGGTTTTTAAAAAAAACTTTCTATTTCTGTTTTATGTTATTATCTTAATCAGGAAAAGGACACTACCCCCATCGTAAAAATGTCAAATTGACTAGAATTCAAATACTAAATCAGTTCTTGCGTTTATTTTATTTTATTTTTTAGTTTAGTTTAGTATCTTCATAGAGAAGCTTTAAACAAATACTTGAAGCCCCTATCTAAATAGACCATAAATAGATCCCACTTAAGCTGCTGATGTTTGTGACAGGGGAAATGATCGAAACATGTTTTCTAGCTGTTGCAGACTTCAGTGACTGTTCACCTTGATGCTATTGAAAAAACTATAGAAGACATCATGGAACTGAAAAAAATCAACCCCGACATAAATCCACAGTAAGAATTATGTTTGTTATTTTGTAAATACAGACATAAGTCATGGCTACATATTTATTATTTCTATAACATGCTTGCTCTCTCAGTCTCTCTCTCTCTCTCTCTCTCTCTCTCTCTCTCTCTCTCTCTCTCTCTCTCAATCTATTCACCTTCCCAATCCCCAACCATCCATCTGCAATGTTTTGACTTTCAGATGAAGAATAAAGAAAAAAGATGCCTTTTTTATATTTTTAAATAGTATCTTTGTACTTTGTTGTGACCTATGCTAATTTTTTGAGATGCAACAAATGTAAGAAATATGATGGATGCCTCCGATATCAGCTGAAATAAAGGGAGCCCATTCATCAGCAGTCACCCCAGGCAACGCCTGTGTTTTACAGTACAGTAAAAGTTCACGTTGTAAATGTGTCCAAGCTGATTCTGCTCCATCATTTCATGACAGGTTGAAATTCCTGGAGATAGTTTCTACCCGCTTGTCAAGAGGACAGGCATGAACACCTTCCTTTTAGCCCAGGGAACCTATATCAGACTTTAGACCTTACAGTTCTGACATAGCTGCAAAATAATAAATTTGTGTTGTTTTAAACCAAAAAGGAAAGAAAGAAAGAAGGAAAGAAAGAAAGAAAATAGAAATAAAGAAAAAAGAAGATTGGCATGTGTGGGAGGGAGACCTGGTTTTTATATGAAGCCTTTAGAACTTTCATCTCATTTGGAAGTATTAAAATGCATTTAGCAATGTACATGACATTTAAAATTAGCTTTATTTTTTCCATTTGGAACAGGAATTTTTCAGTAAAAAATTGGGCTAAGAATATTGGGTAGACAAGTGTCCATCAGTAGATGAGTGGATTAAAAGCTGTGGTACATGTACACAATGGAATACTATGCAGCTGTAAGAAAGAAAGATCCCTTATCCTTTGAGATGGCATGGAAGGACCTACAGAGTATTATGCTAAGCACAACAAGCCAAGCAAAGAAAGACAAATATTCACATGATCTCACTTATTTGTGAAATATAATGAACTAAACAAACTGCTGAACAAAATTAACCCAGAGACATGGAGGTGGGGTACAGACTGACAAGCCTCAGAGGAGGAGTGAGTTTGTGGGGGAGGAGATAAACCATAGAACTTACATGCATGTATGCATGACCAATGAACATAGACAACAAAGCTGGAGATGGGGTGGGGGGTAAGGGGAGGAGGGTGTCAATGAAGGGAAAATGAGAAACATCTGTAACAAACACAAATAAATAAATAAAATTTTTTTTAAAAAAGAATGTTGGGTAGAATAATTTCTGCATGCAGATATATTTAGAGACAGTTTAGGCAGGTAATAATTAAGCTGTCTTTTAGATATGCAAGAGAACTTCAGATGTCACTAAGAAAGGCTTTTGTTGCCAAAGACAGGGAGCTTTAGTCAAGGGGATTTCAAAGTTTACTTTGCAATGTCTGTCTCTTGGAGGGAATCTAGGTACTAGCTAATTGGGGCTCATCACAAAACTCCATTTCCACAGCATTCTTGTGCAGATACCAGCTAATTAGCTGCCTTTTTCTTATTCAGCTGTTGAAGGTAGTTCAATAATGTAGTAAATGTCTTTTTGAAACCTTTTGACATATATTTCTCTGAGGTGACAATAAGGTACTTTATTTTAAATTAAGTTGAATAAAAAATTCAACACTACTATTATGCATGAGGTATATATTATGCATGAGATCTATAATCATATTTAGAGATTGGATTAGATTTAATAACAAATCTTTTCTGTCTCTTCTATGAAAGATATATATTTCATTGAAGAGCATTTCCTTGCCATCTATTCTTTTGATTTCCTTTAGGAAAAAAATCCTTATAGGTATTAGATTGCATTTTTACATCTCTATATTAATTTTGATACTTTTCCCCCCAGATTGACATGGACAAAAGTGATTTTTTTTTTATTATTTCAATAATTTTCTGGGTGGGAGGGAGAGAAGAAATAGAGAAGGCTAGGGGAAATATTTTATAATTTATCAAGCCACTACTACTATTAACCTCACTTTGCTTTAATTACATTTTTTTCAAGTGTTGCTTATGCATTAAGAATTACTACAGTAAAAACTGAACTGGCTTCTCTTGCTCCCTGTTCTTTCATTTCTCTCACTCTCTTCTTTCCCTCAAAATTAACTCTTTTCAGTACTGCAGTGGTTTCCTGGGTGACCAGTTGCACTGTTCACTTTTCTTATGTTAAAATATCTGATTTGGTTTTTCAGTTCTGTAGTAACAAGGGCATTTAATTGATCATTCAATTTTATTTATGTTTGGTATTCTGGGTTTTCTGATACTACCCTCTATGTTTGGAGTAAGTATACAATCCTAAATCATAATTCTCTATTGCCCTCAACTTTAGTCTTAAAACGTTCTATACATCTTATTTCTCTGACCTCCTGACCCCATAAAAAGATGATGATGCCACTGTCATCATGATTTTAATGACCACCACAACAAGAAAAATATTCAAATTTAGTGAGTGAATTAGTAGTACAAATATACCGGAGAGTAACTCGGGTTAAATCGTATGAAATTGCCAATGTTCAACTATTTTGAACCCCAAAAGCTAATAACCGTAAAGAATTTAACAGGAATACATCAATGTGAAATACTACCTTTAGATTTTAAATTGCCATAAAAAAATGTAGGAGAATAATTATGTGACAGAAGTTTATATGAAAAAAGAATCTTGGTGGTTAGTTAGCCATCTGTTTAATAAAATTGTAATATTATGTTACTGCTTAAAGAGACCCTATTTTACCTTCCAGGTTTAGGAGAGAAAAACAGCATTCAGATCACAGGAAGTAATGATTCTCTGTGTGTCCTGCTTGCCTATTTTTTGTTCCACTGATATGTTGTAATGGGGTTGTTAAACAGTGTACATTCAGAGATGACCCAGCAAGAGAGTAAAGCAACTGAAAACCATGTTGCATAAGAAGGAATTAAAGGAACAGGAGATTTTTTTTAAACCCTGGAGATGAGACTGGAACAAAGAATCACTATCTTAAAATAAATAGGCACGTTAGGGGTAAGGTGGAAATACATTTGCTCAGAGAACAGAATTTTAACCACTTGGTGATAAGGAAAGTAGATTTTGTTTTAGCCTTAAGAAAAGTGTTCAGACAACTAGAGAAGTTGGAAGGGAATAGGAAATCTTATAAAGTAGTGAATTCTTTCTCTTGGCATTGGCTATATGTCAGAAATGCTCCCAAGCAGAGCTGTTGTCATTTTGAAACTTTTTTACTCCTAAGCTCCTAAGGACTATTTCTCCCTCTGTCTCTGTCTCTAAATACACACACACACACCACCTTCTGAAGTGTTCTAATATACCCACTAGTGGGGGCTAAATGATCCCTAAGAACCCATTATGACCTATATTTTCTACATCTCACAAGTCACCTGCATAAAGAGCTTTGTTGTTTTTTAAGCCACATTGTTGCAACATGGCTTATGGCCAGAATGAGAGGTAAGTTTTAGCCAAGTTCTACAACTGTCCATGCAGCTTCAGTTAGAAACTGTGCTTCTGTTAGATAGGTCCTATTTGGGCAATTTTCATAGGAAAACTCTTTTGTGCTTACATCAAGTGAACAAAGTATGTTTTGCTTTCCTTCATGTGTGTTTATTTTTGAACACCATAGGTTGGGAATCTCTCTTCAGGCTTGCCTTCTGCAGATCGTTGGGTACAGAAATCTTATTGCAGATGTGGAGAAACTGCGCAGAGAACCCTATGATTCTGATAACTCCCAACACGAGGAAATGCTTCTGAAGGTCAGTCCTCCAACACATTTCAGGCCCTCACTTAGGTTAGTTAATGTTTGCCAAGCGCCTCTTGTGTGATAGGCACAATATCCTGAAAAGCATCCATTTTCTGAAGTGAATTTAGAAAACATCTCAGATGAATAGTTCTAAAGGTTGATTTAAAATTTGTCTTCATTTCCAAACTCAAAATTCAGTGCTTTGAGGTAACATCTTCCATAATCCACCATCAGATCATATAAGATTGCTAAGGTTTTAGTTTGACAGCCAGAAGTATTTATAATTGCATATTAGTCTTCCAGCAATTTTAATACACCAGATATAAACCTTCACTTCCTCTTCTAATAGTCTTCAAGTTACATGAATAAATAATCATCATTAAGGTCTTGGGTAATTTCCCAAGAGAGCTATTGCTGAAGCAGGAACCAACCTCATATTCTTTAATGTCTATTAGAAGTCATAAAAGGAAATCCCAGGTCACTCTTTAAGGAATGCTATTTCTCCTGTTGGCTCTCAGCACAGTTAAACAATCTCAACTTGAGCTCAGTGTGAAAGCCCACAGAAACCACCTCTGATGCTTTCTCAAATTACAGAAGAAAATTGGCTTTTTACCTAAATGCTCACATGAATTTTCCAATGAAATATTTACCTCCAACATCTGAACCATCAAGAAAAGTAGCTTTACCAACAAGTTCAGTGCCCATGTCTTAGTCACCTTTGTGTTCCCCATATCCAGAGCAGTGCCTAAAATTCTAAAAGGCAGTAACAAAATTGGAAGTAAACATTTTGTTTAGCTACCTTAACTTTATTTTATTGGAAAATGTCAATAGAAAATGTAATTTTATAAATGTATCCTGTTGTGTTCTTTTGTGAAGAAGTGTGTGTGTTTTTGTGTAAGTACTTAAGCGAATGACTCATTTGTCTGTATTAATTAGTGCTAGATCTGTTGTAAATCATTAAAAATTAAAGAAACCTCATTCTTAGCAATAGATTTTCTCCTTCTCTTTCTCTCTGCTTAATTTTAGTAAGGCCACTGACTGAGCTTCACCTCTTTTTATTGCCTTATTTTTTCCATTTCTAATAAAGGTAGTTGAGTTCAATAAAAAAGCTCAAAGTGGGAGATAAGAGGTAAATGAAAGAAAAATGAGGTGGTATAATTAACAAACTGCATAATTCATTAGCATGGCTGAGATGCCCACTGAATCAACATTTGGGGTCTTGCTTTATACCTTCTTAGCTGATCTGTTGTAAGTGTTGGCACATAAGTTTTTTTTAGTAAGTATGGGTGAATACATGAATTACTGTAGTTCATCCAATGCATGTCAAGAACTTTTCTGATATGACTTATCTGTGGTCATGATTTGAGTATGTATGTGTCATCATTGTTTATTGTCACCGCTATAAGATGTGAGGAAAGTGATGGTTGTTACCTTTACTTTAGAGGTGAGTAAACTACAAGCATTTTAGTCCAGGCTCTGATTCACATAGCAAGCAAATTATAAAGCCAAGACTGTCCAGTACTGTGTTAGGCACTTTAAGGAAAGACATCTTTTCTACCCTTATGTGGCTTGCAATCGAATCGGAGGGGTACTATGCATTTACAAAACTTACTAATTCTTACTATAGAGCTCCTCACAAATACTTCTCAAATATTTTCTATGCCCCCTGCCTTATTCTCGCCATTATCTCCAACTTGGGCCACTAACTCATCTTCCCTCCCATCTCCTGAAACACCCCTAGAGGGATTATCTAGTCACATTATTCTCTAGGCTAAAAACTTCAGGTTTCCTATGTCTAACAGTAGGAAGAAAGCCCATGCATCTTAGCATGCACTTTGAACCCTCCAATTTATTTCTTTAAGCTATCTTTGCTGTATCCCCATCATCTACAGCATATTTCCACTATGCCCTGCCATTCATCCTGACCCAGATAGGCTGTGCCATCCCCTGTGCCCAGGCATTTGCTCATGCTGTTCCCTCTGTTGCCCATTATTTTCACAGCAAAAGCTGCTTGGTTTTTTAAAGTCCTTATTTATTGCATTTAGACATCTTTTCTTGCCTCCTCAAGCAAACTTAGGAGTGGGGTGTATTCAAATTGTACATCTTCAGTTTATTCAAATCGCAAGTATGATAATAAAAGCACTAATAATAAAACATTCATTGAGTGTTTAGTATGTGTCAAACATATCAGTAAGTGTTATAATAATCTTATGATTAGATATTGGTATTATCCCCATTTTTCAAGTAAGGAAACTGAGGCTGGGCAGTTAGTGACCACCCAAGCTCACATAGTCAGAACAAGCTCTACACTACTGTACTGCACCACCTCTTGAGGGGGACACCATGCCTTGTTCCCATTTGTATTTCCAGAGGACCATGGTGTGCATTTAACTGACTGAGCTCAGGGTTCTTCATCTTTAAAGTGAGTATCCTTGATACCTACTTTATAAAATTGTTTAAAGCTGGGGACAGCAAATCTGGCCAGCCACTCATTTTTGTAAATAAAGTTTGTTGGAACACATCCATTCATTTGTTCATGTATCATCTGTGGCTGCTTTTGTACTACACTGGCAAAATGAAGTCGTTGTAGCAATGACCATATGGCCACCAAAGCCTGAAGTATTCACTGTCTGGCCCTTTATAGACACTTTGCCAACTCCTGGTTTAGAAGCTTTATTATAATTGCTGTATTGTATAAGTGCTTTGATTTGAGCACTTATTTGAACATAGGAGACCATTATCAGTGTTTCTACTTGTAGGATAAAAATTAAAATCTGAATTTTATGATAATTTAGACATAGGCTGGAATGAAACTGTATAATATCACTTTATATTCACATAGCACAGTTCATATGAATTGTTCAAATAGACATTTCTATTAAACATTTTAACCAGATTAATAATAAAGATGAAGTTCTAGGGGGATTCATGACTTAATAGAAAAAATATAAACCCAGAATTAAAAGATGCTCTCCTAATGGGAAGAGATAGTCTCAAGGTAGCCTCAGTGAAAAGCCGCTTTGGGATGAATGGATGGATGCCTTGCCCATTCTGTTCTGCAGCAGACCTGAGACAAGGCAGAGTGTTCAAATAAGCTTGCAGTAAAGGCTCAGTGCAAAGAGAATAGAATTAAACAGAACATGGGCCTTGATAATATTCTGATTCAGCAGCTTTCACATTGTAGCTTGTCATCTGCCACAGGAATCACCCTTTAGCTCTGGTCTCCTGTACTTGACAGGTACCTTTGAATAACTCTACTCCTAGTAGCACAGTCTTAGACAGCTGGACTCCTCAGAGGCCCCGACGAGATGCTCATCACCTTAGCGCAGATTTCTAGTCGGCTTCAAATGTGCAAGAAATGACCTGGTCCGCTCAGAGGTACCCGCCTCTTACCCTAAATTTTTTCAAGGATGAGACTCTCAGAAGAGAATCAGTAATTTAAGTATTTTTACAGAAAACGTACACGTTAGCACTTCATATAAGTATTTTAGCCTAATAAACTTTCATTTACCAATAAAGCAACCCTTATTAAAGCAGATAAGATTAAGAACTTAATTAAGAACACTTTTGAGACATTCTTCAGAAGATGGAGGCAGGCAGGACTGGAGGGAGGGTGAGTGTGTGAGAGAGTGTGAGTGGATATGAAGGTGGACGACCAAACTCATGCAGTGCAGAGATGCGGAGCAGAAGGTTCCTGTGCTGTGGATGGGAGCAGCCAGCTACCTTGGTAAGTGGCTCTACAGGGCGCTTCTCCCTGTGCAGGGGGGAGGTCCCACCATTTTGGAAGATCCTGGGTCTTCCCTAGGAGGCGGCAGTGGGAGCAGCCAGGGCCCAGCAACCTGAACCCATCAGCACACCTGGTACCATGAGACTAGTGGACACCCTGTGTCAACACAGTCTATTGCACAGTAGCAGAGCTGCCAAGGTGCTAGTTGCAGAAGCCGCATACAGCTGGGAGCACAGCACTATCCCCCACAGTAGCAGCTTGATCAGAGTCAAGATATACCCCCAGCAACAGAGGCTGGGGAGGAGACATCCATCCCCAGGCAACAGAAGCACAGACCAGCAGCCGAGACCCATCCCCAAAAAGTACAGCAAAAGCTGAGCAGGAGTTGAGCCCCATGGGGCAGGAGCACTCCCCAGCTGCCAGCAGCAGGACCTGGGGCTCCACAGAGGCCTGTGCAGTCCAGCAGCTTACAAGAGCAGTGGGAAGCCGGAGCCCCAGAGAGACTGGTGCAAACCAGCTGCCTACCCACAGGACCTGTGGGGTGTGGGGGCACCAGAGCGGCCTGTGCAACTCAGCAGCCCACAAAAGCAGTGGGAAGCCAGAGACCAAGAGGAACTGGTGTGAACCAGCTGCCTACCCGCAGGACCTGTGGGGTGTGGGGGCACCAGAGAGGCCTGTGCAACACAGCAGCGACTGTGTGATCTAGTTACCAATGGGACCTGCAGGGTTCTGAAGCACCAGAGAGGCCTTTGCGACCCAGCAGGGACAGTGCGATCCAGTTTCCCATGAGATCTGCGGGGTGCTGAAGCACCATAGAAGCCGGTGCAACCCAGCAACCCATAGATAGCCATAGAGCCAGGTCCCCAAAGGGACTGTGCAATCCAGATACCTGCAGGACCTGCAGAGTGTGGGGGCATCAAAGAGGCTTGTTGGACCTAGCTGCACACAAGATAGGCATAGAGGATGTGAAAATGGAGGCGGAGGGAATGGAAGCTACACAGATGATCTCCCAGATCCAAATGGGAATTACCACTTAAATAAACACAAATCCTCAAAAAAAGGAACAGAAAAGCAGCAGGACAGGACCATATAACCAGGGACACTGGTAGGATCTGTGGAGGCATGAGAGGGTGGAGGGCTGGGAGCCCACAGACATCAGCAGTCGTAGCAGTGAGCAGCGACCTTGGGGAATAATGACCAATCCCACTCCACAGCGAAGAGAGCCCGGTCAGAGTGCTAAAATAGCCACAGACACTCACCTGGGGGCTAAGGCAGAGGGAGGGCAG